ACGAATTCATATATTACAAGGTATCTCTAGTGAGCAGTCTTTTTTTAACTAGATGGTTCTTTCTCAGAAGTATTCCAATGTTCCAGAGCTAAGAAAGGCATTGCAAAATTCCCTGTAAATAGTAAATCAGACAGTTGCTATGTTCTTTATTTTAATATATGCTATTCATATATGTTAAGTATACATGTTTGAAATCAGAACTTGACCTAAAACATTAGGTTTGTGTAACCAAAATGTTTCTGTCAACTCACTCAGGTTCACTGAGCTGAGTACTCTGGCATGTAGGGGATGTGTATATGAAATATAGGGTGCCTACAGAAACTGAGAGATGTCTGAAAGAAACAGTGAAGGCTAGTGTTTCCAGAGTATGTCCAGAGGAACACAAGTCATGATGGAAGTCTAGACAGTCAAGTTCCCATGACCAGATTGGTTTGGGAAACACTACACGGTCTCTGCTCTTTTGAAGAGCAGTATTGACATCAGCATATTAAAGACTGAAAGGTCTCACAGTAAAGAAACATATTTAACTTTATTTTACCTGGAATCTCAAGTGTACTGGTTGGTCTTGGAATAAGAACCCGGTACCGACCCACAAAGCACAGTCTGAGAAACCCCAGACTCAAACATTTGTGATGCTGCAAACAAACTGTGATAGGAAATTCTGTTTCTTGTTTAAAAGCATACCATATAAATAACCCAATGCAGAGGAATTGCATGCTTTCCTTATTATTTTAGGTTTAGAAATAAAAATGTAAGAATTGCATCCTTATGACAAATGGAAAATGATCACACTTGCTTGACTTGCCCAGTGATTTTTAATTTTTAGAATCTTCTATGTAAGCTAGCAATTATGATGATGCAGCCAGAAAATGGTAATTATGTCCATGAAATAATGGATAATGAGCACTTTTTTAAATGAAAAAAAAATCCCTAAAGTCATTATTGGATGATGAAAATAAATTAATTCATTTCAGTACTTAAAGAATGATAATTACCATGCTCCCTGAAAGCAGTATAAATGCATATATAGGTTCTTTCATGTGAAACATTACAAGACAAAAATGGTGAAGTATTAAGACAATGTGGCACCCACTGTCTTTTCTCCCATAAATTCACTCTTACATCTTACGATGGTGCATTGCCAGAGAGGCTGGTAAGCAGATGTTTCATAGCTTGTAAGAGATGGGATCAGGATTTGGGCCAACTATTCCTATCTCTGGGGCCCATATACTTAACCCCTAACTAGAGCTTCAGCCAATTAAAACAACAATTTAATACAACATTTCTTCCTTCCCCCTCTCTGCTTCTCCCCACGGCCCTAACCACCCAACAAGGGTAAATTTGTGTTGTAAAGTTCGAAAACGCCATTGTTAATGTCGGAGAACACTTTGCTAAGCTACACTCCCTCTCTGTGGCAGTTGTTTTGGGGAATATATCACATTAACATTTGCAGAAGTGATGTTTCACTACACTGTTAAAGTTGCTTTGATATTTTAAGCCCCATCTGTACAAAAATACTCACAATAACAGTTGGTATTTTTTTCGTCAAGGATATGGCTTCTAGTGATGACCGTGCACTTGAGCCAGTTGATTCCGTGGAGACAGACTGTTCATTCAGCCCCCAGTTATAAATTGATCTTAAAATAGTTTGTTTAATGCATATTTCTAGACACAGCTCAAATTTTTATAGTGGTTGTTGTGGCACAGAATTGTAAATGTTTCATAAAATGGAGGTACTTGTTTTTATGATGTGAGAGATTTAATAATGAACTTAGACAATAAAACTGGGGGATCAAGTAAATACGAGTATAACTCCGTATCTGATTTATGAAGTTTCATTCCCTGTTGATGTTGCTCAGTCACAATTTGCTGTGTGAATGTAGGGTGGGCCTCAATACAGTTTCTGGGGCTTTTTATAAAGTTAGTGCTGGCAAATTAATTAATTGCCACAGTTGATAGTAAAAACGTCATAAAAAGAAACTTTTAAGTTTTATTCAAAATATAAAGATATTTCTGACAGAAAACATATTATTAATCTTGAAAGCGAGGAAGGGGAAAGTTACTTTTTATAGCCAAGATGTGACCAAACACTAAGACTTTGGAGCAGACGTGTAAGCCTATCTCTTCTGACCCCTCCTCCAAAGAGAGATGGGTGTTTCTCGTGGTAAGAAGGAGGGGTTGTTGGATGGGGAGTTCAGGTAGGTTTTACTGTTCTTTTATCTTCCTGATAATAATCAAGGCATTGCTGAAACAGCCTCTCCCGAGTACTTCTGAGCACTGTGCTACCTGACATCTGGACTTTGACAGGTCTTCCAGGACAGTGGGTGTGCACTCATGCCAAGGCACTGCCCTGTAACATGCGGTGCAGAGTGCCCCGGTGCCTGGGTCATGAGCAGTCCTCAGACGGGCCAGCTCTGCACCTGACTGACGGGACCACCCGCAGGAGGCCGTTCTGTGCTTGCAGGCAGCCCGTCACATTCTCTGAGCCAAGGCTTCCATATCCTGGCACCCTCCTCAAGGCCGTTTTTGTCCTGGCCTTGTCTTTGTGTTCAGCTCTTCCCAGGCTCTCTTCATTTTGTGCCCCCCCCCCCAATATAACCAATGCAACAAATATTTAATGTGGTGGCTGCCACCGTTCTGGACATGAGGCAATACAATAGACCAAGTTGCCCATTAGTTAAACACATGGTAACCTGTTCAAGAAACTGTAATCTGTGTCTAATAATAGTTAACTCCCTTGATTTCAGCTCAGCTGAACACTACCAACTCCACCTTGAGTTTAAAGCAATTTTTTTCTGTGAATAAATTCTGAACTAATCTAAAACTCTCTAGGTAGCTTAAAAGCTGGAGTAGTGGGCCCAGACTTGGAGTAATGATGTCATAACTGATGTTTGTAGAATTTCACTGTGCTCTTTTAGAATATTCCTGATTAGAGAATTTGGGTTGGGGTTAGATATTTTTGTAGTGGGGAAAAATTGACAGTTGGTATAAAGGGAAAGAGGAAGAATTTATCTCAGAAATAAGTGAAATACAGCATAAATTGCTGTTTGACCATTTATAATGATGCCCATTTATAATAATAGTGTCATTTACATATTTTGAGCCTTGAACAGTTACAAAGATTCACTTGTTTCATCAGTCAGTGCCAAAGACCAATTATATAATAATGTAATGATACCTGTAACACCTTATAGAAATTTTCTAATTTAAATTTTTTAATGGACTCATTTTAGGTAAGGTCAACCCTTTTAACACTGGCCTGATGTTCTTTGGTGGTCTTCAAAATCCACTGATGGTAATTTAAGAAAATTACTCATTGGAGATTTTGCTCATGGGAACCAGAAGTAGGTATCATGAAAATCTTGGGCCTATACTCCTGAATAAGTCACCGCTGGAAGTAAACAAACATTCTGAAATCAAACCTTCCAATTTTTAAAAATTTTCACCACTTTTTAATGATATTGTCTCAGTTGTATTGCACACATTGTCTTTTAAGTAGCACGCAGTGAAACCGAACTTTCTTGAGGACTACATGCCTGGCACGAAGCCTTAGGTTTGGGAGGTGTCTCGCGTGTTCGAGATCTGCTTTCCTTTTAAATGCCATCTAACACAGCACTGCTTCAGGGACCTCCGAAGTCTGAAGGTCTGTTCTGCACCTGTACTAGGGACCCCAGTGTATGTCTATTCGTAACTGATGACCACATTACCTGCTTCCTCGCTGTCTCATGCCACTGCTTAGAACAAAGTCGTCCAAAGCACCTCCTCCTCACTTCAAATTTTCTCTCAGAAAGGCCAGGAGTGAAGATCACCAGAGGAAATGAGACGACCGCCTTAAACGTCTTTAACCTCACTGTTATACCTAGATCTCCCTACAGACTCCGGCAAGCAAAGTTCTGGGACCTCTGACACTAAGTTGGAAGCCCTACCTTTGTGTTCTTTGCAGGTGTTTTTCTGTTCATCTTGTGCATTTTCAAGTTTCCTTTTCCCTGGCTCCAGCTTCAAAGATATGTTTCCCATGACACAGAGAAGTCATTTCATCTCTCTGTGCCTCAGGCCCCTCATCTGTAAAACGGGGGTGTTAATGGCTGTATACCTTACAGAATTGGGGTGAGGACTGAGCTAATATTTGTAAAGTTCTTAGAAAACTGATGCATAGTAAGAGGTAAATAATTCAAGAAAAGAACGGCCTGACCACTGGATAAGTGGTTCTTTAATCTTGTTAAACTAAAAGGCAAGGCCTGAGAAGATGCTTCTGTTATGGGATGATTTATACTTCCTTTTCCAAGGTAGGACTGGAGTGATGTGGAGGAGTTTGTATCTGAAGAAGCAGAACTGAAAGAGATTACCTAAAATATCTGTAGGAGCTGCTGGCATGAGCCTGGGTCCTGACCAGATGAAGTAATAATGTATGGAAAGATGTTCGTAGCAATTCTTTTGGGGCTCTTCATCGTAGTTTTAAAGGAGACAAGAGATAAACCAGAAATATATGGGCATGGAGGGAATTGGGGAGCAAAGCTTATACCAAGAGGTAGCAGTTTCCTTCTGTGTCTAAAAGCTGAAACAGAGTGATTCTCAGAAGACGTTATATACGCATGTAACTTGTCTTAAACAACTGTCTGGCTTACGTGTTTTTCTTTCATGGGAAAGGGCATGGGCCATCTGCTTTGTTAAAGAAAGCAGACACCATCTCTGTCGGCCATGTGCAAGGGGGTGCTGCACCGGCCACCATGAAGCTGGGAACCCCTTCGGGCTGCCTCCAGGTGCTTCTTGGGAGCCGGGAGGCAGAAGACTTGCTGTGCTCTTGGCCTGTGTCCACCCGACTGTGCAGGAACAGGGGCAGGCCCTGGCATTCCTGGCACAGGGCTCAGTCGCACACTCACTCTGATGGCTGCCCTTTGCCCCACCTCCCTGGGCCAGAGGCAGCTCAGGTGTAATTTGCTCTTAGGCTCCGAGGTGCAGCCCTGTCAATCTGCAGCAGGTGTTTGTCTTGCAATCCACAGACAAGAAGAAGGGCAGCAAATTCCAGCCTTTTAAGAAGTTGTTTGGCAAAAGGAAAAAGAAAGACACTTCATCTTCCCGGGAGGCATCAGCAGGAAAGAAGAGTCACTCTCCTCAGAGCATCAGCAATGGAACCTTCTCCTCCGACGAGGAGGCCCTGGAGGACAATCTAAGGTAAGAACTCACACTTTCTGAGGGGGAGGGTCTTTGGCGGAGTTCCGAGGTGGGGTGAGGCAGGAGTGGAATCACAGATGTGTTCGTTCCCTCTCCGGGAAGGTGGAGGACTTTGGGGTACCTGGTGTGTTCTGCGGAGAAGTCACCTGGGGGAGACGGTGGACAGGTGTGGCCTCACTCCCTGGGGGAGCACAGAGGTTGCGCCTTCCTCCCGCTGCGCTCGCAGTGCTAGGAGGCTGCATATCGCTGGCTTAGCTCAACAGCATTCCTTGGATTGAAAAGGACCTTGTTTCCATGTCTCGTTGTTTGGCAAAGAGAAGGGGTGGTCATAGATTAGCTCTTACACCTGTATCAAGGACACGGACTGCTCGGACACAGGGTGGTCACCCCTCATACCCCTGGCCATCTCTAGTGACTTCCAGAACCTGCCTGCGATAAGGTACCAAATTCTTCTCTGTTTTCTGTGTTCCCTGCTCCCTCGCTCAGAACAAACACAGGCACTAAATCTGGCCATGGCAGTGTAAAGAACTCAGAAAAGCAGGGTCAGAAGGTACTTTCTCACCTGAGTGCTGGGAGCTGAAGGCGGAGTCAGAGATGGTTAAATCCTGCTGTTCACAGCTTAGAAGTCAGCTCCTCTGAGAAGCCTTGCCCACTGCCCGATCTGATTCACTTGCCCTCACCTGTGTTCCCCTGGCACCACGCGCCTGGCTCCAGCTGGCTCTTGTCACTTTGTATGGAAATCATTGATTTGCTTGTGTGTCTCTCTCACTCGACTGCTAGTTCCATGAAGTCAGGGACCAGGTTCTATTCAGCCTCATCTTAAGTGATCAAAAACTGTTTCCTGTGAATGCCTGGCACTGCATAAGTTGCCCTAATGTAGTGCAGGGGGTCCTTGAATAACGTTTGCTTCAACACCGTTTAAGGATAACGTTAATGAGAAGAAAGAAAGTGACTCCCCCACCAGGCCGTTGTCTGCGTGGGTTTCCGCCCCAGCCCCAAGCTGTGCACGTGAGGCGAGCTGGCTCGTCTGCACCGCCCCAGGCTGAGTGAGCGTGGGTGTGAGTGGCCCTGCCACGGAGGGGCGTCCTGTCCGGGTTGGGTCTCCCCTCATGCTCTGAGCTGCAGGAACAGGCTCCAGACACCCACCACCCTGAACTGCAACAAGCGGGTTGGGAAAAAGGGATTTTACTCATTTTATTAATCTTTTAATAATAGATTGCTCACATTTATTTCAATGTTTAATATTAGAAGTATTGGGGGTCTTTACTTCAGAAATTTAGTGATGTTCTTGTGACCAGAAATATAGACCTTAACTCTTGTTTGTATCAGCCTGTAGTAAAATTGGTTTCATTATGTGTTGTTTTGCTTAAAGTTGCAGTTTCTGAGAACCAGTCCACAATGTGATGTCCTCCTGTACATGTTGAAGAGGGAGATAATACAATCTATGACGTTTTTACCATATTTCAAGGGCACAGACAGAAACATCCTCTGTGGTGTGTATTAGTAAGCAAAGTCTTGTGGGCACTACAACTGAGCACAAATTACAAAATCCTCAGGCAAGCAGTACATCTAAGCTCTACAAGTGCTCACCAACAGCCTTACTATGGGCTCTTGTTGATAAGCCTACATTTATGTGACATATGCTGTATCTTATCCTGTCTTTATAATAAAGTTGGAAGGATAAGCTTTGGACAAAGGGTTTTTTTAAATGTCTCTTTAGCTCTAGCTGGTCTGTCTTGGTTGGTACTGAAAGGTCATGGGTTCAGTTCCCAGTCAGGGCACATACCTAGATTGTGGGTTCAGTTCCGGTCAGGGTGTGTATGAGAAGCGACTGATGATGATGTTTCTCTCTCAGATCGATGGTTCTCTCCATCTTTTCCCCTCTCTCTAAAATCAATAAGCCCTCAGGTGAGGATAAAAACAAACAAACAAACCATCTCTTTAAATATTTTTAAAATAAAAAATATGGGAATATACAAGTCATTTAAAATACGTATTCCACTTCTTGGAAATTGGCAATTGCCGTATAAATTCACCCACCAAGTAAATATTACATTCATTGCTTGCAGTACAGCCGAACTTCTGATTACTCGTGCTGTTTGCAGATGGAGAGGATGAAAGATGTTTCCAACAATTCGTATTTTCAGTTCCCGCTCCATCAATCGACATGTTACTTTACATTGTGTAATGATTTGCAACATTTCAGCACCTTTTACTTGCCATCGCCAAAATGGACAGCTCTCCCTAAAAAAACACAAGAGTCCGTTAACATGATCTTGGGCGGAGGTTCCAAGGAGGCAGGGTTCCGTCCAGCGTGAGGGAGAATTTCCTAATTACTAGAGCTGCCTAAGAATGGGGAGACTGGGTGTGTCAGCATGGGTGGGGACCGGTGCAGGGAATTTTGGCACTGGTGAGCATTTAAAGGAGCTGAACTTTAACTCCAAAAATTTGTAATTCTAGAAATGTCTCCGTGGCCAGAAATAGCTCATTATTGATCTGCTCCCTCTGCCTGAAATTTCTCATTTCCTTTGGGCTTTTAAAGCATTCTGTTCTTTTTCTAGGTTAGAAGCCTTTGTTTTTCCTAGGCTGCTGCTTTTAAATTATACATGCCTGTGGGAAAAGCTAAATATAAATAGTAAAACATGATCAGTTTTTTACAACTTAATGTAACTTCCTTTATTAATTGCATACAACTAATATTGTGTTTTCTGAAGTATGTTAAATGGATGTTAAATTTTAAAAGGAAGAGAGAGTCATTTTGGCAAATGGGTTTGGGAAATACCTGGCCAAAACGAATTAAATAGGGTCCTTTACATAGGACTTTGGAGAGCCTTCCCTATGCTAATGTACCCAGGAAATCTGCAGGAGGAAGGATGTAATATAGAGCACTTCCAAGATTGCTTTAACCACAAATGCTTTTTTCATGGAGAATATCCTATAGCATATATTAAAGCTGCCACTTATTGAATGTATTACAATGTGTTGTATATAGATGAACTCACAGTATTTGCTAGGACATCTGAAATTGACATTACTATCCCCATTTGAAAGATGAGAAAACTAAGGCCAGAGAGTGACTTGGTGGTAAGTTGCTGAATCACAATTCAAACAGTGAAGAGCACCTTCTTAACCACCCACTGTTTTGTGGCAGCCTCCCTAGGGGAGCTACTTCTGTGGCCCTGAGTTGTCCTGCTGGTCCTGAGTCCCCAGGCTCAGGTCTTTTCCTGCTTTTTGCTACCTGACTGAGGCTCTCCTACTCACTGGGACTCTCGTCCTGCATGCAGTTTTCTGCCTCACACCCAGCACCCACTGTATTACGCACAGCCACAGCACTGTCTAGTGGGCGTCAGCTCTGCACCACAGTGAGATGAAGGGGCTCCACAAGGGAGAGCTCAGTCCGGGACTGCAGCTGTCAGGGATGGGTCAGGAACGAGGAGCCCTGGAGCTGGCTCCAAAGGGTGGGCAGGATTTGGAGCAGCTAAGAGACAAGGCACAAACAGTTCAGATCTGGAACGGCAGGAGCAGAGACTTCCACACAGAATGACTATGGCAAATAGAATAGGAGGGAGCTTTCCAGCTCACTCTGTGAAGCCAGTGTTACCCTAATACAAAAACTAGACAAAGACCAAAAGCTACAGGTTACTATCCCTTATGAGTATAGACATAAAAATTCTCAACAAAATACTAGCAAGCTGAATTCAGCAACAAATAATTCCGCTGGATTCAGCTGAGTTATATATACACACCATGATCAAGTGGGGTTTAGCCCCAGGAGTGCAAGGTTAATTTAATGTGCAAAAATCCTTCAGTATAGTACACCATGTTAATACAATAAGGGACAAAACACATGATCATCTCGATAGAAGCAGAAAAAGCATTTGACAGAAGCCAACACCTTCTCATAATAAAAGCACATGAATAGAATAAAAGGGAACCTCTTTAGCTTAATAAAGGGCAACTTCAAAAAATCCACAGTTAATATCTTACTTAATGGTGAAAGAATAAATGTGTTCTCCTCAAGATCAGGAACAAGACAAGGTGTTTATTCAATATTGTACTATAGTGCAGATTAAATCTGGGACAAGAAAAATAAATAAAAACCATCAGTCTTGCCAAAGAAAAAGTAAAACTATCTCTGTCTGCAGATGCCATGATCTTATAGGTAGGAAAACTCCTAAAAAATCCACGAAAAGAACTATTGGACTAATGAGCAAAGGCAGTCAAGGTTGCAGGATACAAGATGGGAGTTGTGGTATTTTGGTGATATTTCTGTGCACTAGGAATGAACAATTTAAAAATGAACATAGGAAAATGACTTCATTTGCAATAGCGTTAAAAGGAATAAACTACTTAGGAATAAATTTAACAAATGAATGTAAGGCTTATACCACAGAAATGACAAAATATCACTGAAAGGAGTTAAAGAAGCACAGTGATAATGCCAATGTTCATTGCAGTGTCACTTACAATAGCTGGGAATCGGGGGCAGCCCCGGTGCCCATCAGTAGATGAGTGGATGGAGAGCCAGGGTGAATTTACGCAGTGGAATACCACTGGGCCATAAAAAAGGGAGTCTTGCCTTTTATGATGGCATGGATGGACCTGGAGAATGTTACGCTGGGTGAAGTGAGCCAGTCAGAGAAGGACAGATACCATGTGATTTCACTTATACGTGGAACCTAATGAGCAAAATAAACAGACAAAATAGAAAAAGACTCATAGACAACAGAGTGAAAGCTGTCAGAGGAAGTGCGCTGGGTTGGATGCTGGGTGAAAAAAGTGAAGGGATTGAGCAAAAAAATAAAACGGATTGTGAACACAAATAACAGTCTGGTGGCTGCAGGAGGGATGGGGTGGGGGATGTGAAAGAGGGCAAAGGGGGGATAAACAGTGACAGAGGGGGCTTGACTTTGGATGGCGGACACACGGGGCAGCATATGAGTGGTGTACTAAGGAGTTGTGCACTTGAAACCTGTATCTTATTAGCCAGTGTCACCTCA